CCTCAGTTTTGTGCCAGAATGGCAGATGTTCAATTTGTTACTCAAACGCTTTTGAAACAACTAAAAACTGAATACTGTTCCTAATAGCTGGTTAGAGGGTTTCAGAATAGTTAGAGAGCTCGCTTCGAGCCATATTTTGTTGAAGTTTAGTTTTTCACTCGCGAACAAATGCGTTAGTACACGGTTGGAGAACAGGAGGATCGTTTCCAATAAATTCGCTCGCTAGCAACGAGGCCGAGAACTGTTATCGCGATCGTCCTGCTCCTTGATCGAAATTGTTCGTGTCCATCGGGCAAAGGGTCAGTTATCTTTAAGAGGTGATAACCTTCGATTGCGCATCATCGACATGGCGCGTCGGCGGCGAATCGCTTTGGCCCCATTTGCCTCGGTGAATAAACCATAACGAACAGATGTAACCAATTTATCTGCACACGCTGTTCCACACAGTTTCGTGTTTCTTGATACTAAATTTTGTAATATTCCCTCGTTCAATGCAATGGTTAAACTTCAATCAATAATGAGATATAATATTTACACTTGCTTAAGTGTTGTTTATACATATATAATATAATTGATAGAATAATATATAATTATTAATATACATAGTGAATTATATATAATAAAATTAATAGAATAATATATATTATTGATATGAATGATATATATATATATATATATATATATATATATATTATTGATATAATATTGATATGAATAAGTTTAATATTAACTAACAAAATTAATGTAAATAATAAATTATATCATTGTAAATTAACAATAATATATAAAATTAATAAAAAATTTGTGTATTCATCACTGGTTATAATTTTCTTTTACGCGAAATTCGAAGCATTTTTCAAGCTGTGTGATCTGAAATTGCGTTAGATGCTGGATTTATCTTACACTTTGATTGCCATAATCTACCTTTCTATCCATCATCTCTGCACGTCAACTCGAGCGAAGAGAAGCGGGCACTCATCAACTTGAACTTTTTAGAACTATCACGCTTTGCTTTTAATGCACATTTAAGACGAAACAGTTTATGCCTGGGTAATTTAATTAAAGTCGTAAAAGAAGTTGGTGTAGGGAATCTGTTTAATTATTGCGAAAACATTTCGACTTAATATCACCTGGAGGTAATAGCTTTGTCACAAATAGCTTTAGACTAATTTTTTCAATAGAAGCGTCTAAATATAATATTCTTTATTGAAATTATCGTAATATATTTACAATAGTTTATACAATTACTATAAATAATAGAAACGTATATAGAAATTATAATATGTATATAAAAATTATATCATCATAATGTCATCTTAATACATTAGCTACTCTCCCTTTTCCGGTTAAAAAAACAAAAATTTTCAAGTCAAATAACAATTCTCTTAAACGTAAAATAACAATTCTTTCAAACGTAAAAACAAAAGTTCCAGAAATTTTACATATTGAGAGAAATGAAACTTGAATTTTCCAATTAGAATCATATTTTCTCACGCACGCATTGGCGTTCACGTTTGAATAACTGTCGCAAGACTTTCAGGAGGGGAAGTATCATTCGTGAGAACCATTCAAGAATTTAACGCGTCGAGACTGATGACACGTCGAGTCACCAATCGACGACTGACGAACACGATCAGCATTCTCCTTCAAACAGTCCAATTTATCAGAGAATTGGTTCGTTCAATTGCCATTCGAAGAAGCATTATTGTCGATGTTACAGCAGCTCCTCGAAATTCAGCTTAATCAGTAAATTTCCCCATTCATTCGCGAACAAGGAGCCAAGGTTGCCACGAGATGTGAATAGGAGCGATTTTTTTTTTGGACGGCGACCAAACGGTTCGCATCTCCGTTGATTCCTTTCGTCGACAACATCGAGAAACTTAATCCCGAAACGTGCAGAAATCAGCGTGCACTTTCCTCCGATGGATCACCACGAAAGCGGATTATCGATTGAAATACACGCCGATGAAAACGAATAGTTTATCCCTTGCTTTTGTCGTGGTATACCGTTGCCGAAGAGGAAACTATTTCTTACAAACAGGACTGATTTTGATTCGTTAAAGACACAAAGGTACGATCATAGAAGAGAAAATTTATTATCTCGTCAAGTGAACGTTTGTGAAAAAAATATAAGATCTTTGTAAGGTTTGTATTGTTTGAGAAAGAAAAGGAGTTAATCTCTGTGAGTATGTGACGTGTAGACGTGTGGAGCTTGTATCATTTGGACGTTGAAAGAGAAAGGAGGCTAAGTCTTTCATAAGGGATTACGACTTCCAAGAAATTTTGCTAGGTGGATAAAGAAATGAAGAATATTCGACCTATTTATTATAAGAAGCAGTTATAAGATATCCTACAGATTGAGAGCTTTCTCCAAGGAACATTCGTTTACTAATTATTTTTTAAACTTTTCACTGTTGTTAGATACTGTATCGCATTAAATATTCAACAATTTGCACATAGATGTAATTGTTGAGATTTTCTTTCTATATTTGTATTCTTATTTTTGCGGTAGTATAATCACATTTCAATAGCAGTGACTGTATATTGAAAATTTAATAGAGATTTAAGACACATAGAACAATGCTAAGTACGTTTGAAGAAGTATTTGAAATAATAATTGAAATAAAATATTATTTGAGAATTCATTTTATTTGAGAGTAATACGTACAAGTATATTGAAATTATTCATTTCAAACGCACGAGTGGGTAGTATTGATTGAAATAATAATTGCCTAAATAATAACTAAAAATTATTATAATATTTCACACAATGAAACTTGCATTGTCTGTTTCACAATATTGTTTCAGAGGGAACTCAACTAAAAAACTATGGAGAACAAACACATATTAATTAGCAACATTAAATATTGCTCTTGAAAAGAAACCTAGCCTACAAACTTTTCAATCTCTCTTTATCATTACCTATTTAATTATTTCTTTTTTTCTTTTCAATGAAAGTAGTACCAGCATTAAGCTAGAACTTGATTCACACGATCGTAAATTCAATTATGTACATATGAAGCAGGTCGCTTAAACAGCCGAATGTAATCCTCTAATTTCCACTAATGTGTTGATAAACGGCCAATTTCGTGCGAAACAAACAGCCGATCTAAATCTCAACAACGCGCAGTATTGGAAAAATCATATAAAGATACCGATCGCGACCCATTGGAATTCATTTAGTGAGATTCGACCAGTAGTTAATCGAACCGAGACCATACAGCCGCAGTATCCCCAGTGTAAATCAATCCTAATTCCATGCGTTCGACCGATAATGCGTTTGAACGCCTCTGCGATTTCATCCCCTTCGAATCGATTCACTCACCTCGTATATTCTCTTCTCCACCCACGAGGAAGCTCCACGTGGATTGCACATTAATACACACAAGTTGGACCATCTAACGTAACTACCTAACATTATTTCCATTATTTGTAGATCGATCAAAATTTTTTTTGTTACGGATGATATGATTTCAAACAATCTTCATGGTGGTGACACTTTATATTATATATATAGAAAAGAAAATTATAATGTTTCTATATATATATATAAAACTATAAGAAAATTATAATGTTTTATATATTTATAAAGCATTATAATATATATTCAACATTATAACATTCTTCGTTTGCTTATCAGCTAGTATCAAAACGGATTCAACGATAAGTTCAAAAATAAGTATACTGAAATGGTAATAAAAAAAGTAACTGAGATGTGGTAGACACTAAAGTAATTGAGACTTCAATATTATATTTCGTGCAGTTTTACCTTTACGATTATTATACATTACACATTTTCGGATATATCGCCAGATATTTATATAAATTTTTATATTCATTGACAGAACTGAGGGGACAGAATTGTTAATATTTTGGATATTTTATGTATTTGTATATTTATCTGGTTGAAGGAATAAAATTCGTAATCAATTTGTAATTTAGTTTTTATTTAGTTATTTAGTTCTATTCCAAGATTTCTATTTCTGCTAGAAAGAAAATTAAATTCGAAATAAAAAATAGGACAAATTTGGACATTTTAAAGAAAATATTTAAAATCAGGTCGGACAACCCGAGTTTCGAAGATTAGTGTGTCGATACGACATTCAACGCTTTATTTTGTGAAATATTTTTATAATTTCAAGAGAAATTGTTTTCGACGGACGAAAATTCAGCTTAATTGCAGACAGAAATAAAAATATATATATCTGTGGAAATAATGCTTAACAGAACAAAAGGACTATTGTCCTCCATTTCTGCCAACGCCTGCCTCGTGCACACATCTTACGCAATACATGTATGTTTACAACCACCGGTACTGCCTTTCTATATTTTACAACCACTTTCATTCTGACAACCGACACATCGTTTCCAAGGCATACAAGCTCGTGAAAACGTGACGCGTATAGGTTCCAACCACCCGAAACCTTGAAAAAGACAATATATTTTTAACTCGCAACATGGTACACAAAAATACATTATATATATTTATTTATATCCGACATACGACCACTTCGTTATATAAACATTCATCCATAACTTTCCATATCCACGGGAAAAAATTTACACATGGACGACAAGTATCGCGTTTCTATGCAACAAGTAAAAAGTCACTGTAATTATAAATAATAAACGACATGTTTTATTCGAGATAACCTGTTGAATACACTGATTGAACGCTGCTTGACGTACATTCCTGCAGATATTAAAGCAAATTAATATTTTTACGAATGTAAAAAAAAAGTGGAACTCTGGGCAGAAGATACAAGAACAGATAATACAAAAACAGAAAATATCAGAAATTACCAGAAGAACGGCGCGTTCCAACATTATGGCGAGCAACCATCCCGGATATCATACTCTCCTCATACAAAATCCGAATTCTGAGCGAGATCATCCTTCTCGTTTGCAAGATATTTCAGCCTAAATATTTTAAGAAAAACTACTGTATCAGGAGAAATGTTCGCAGGCTCTGACATTCGACTTCATCGTGTGTCATGTACCTCTGATAAAAAATTCGAATACTCAGCCGGATGTTCCTTCTCGCACGACAGATATTTCAGCCTAAAAATTATACGATAGACCACTGTATCAAGAGAACCGCTCAACGATGGACTTTATCGTGCCACCTCTTCGAGTGTCATGTTCTGCTGATACAAAATCAGAATTTTCAGTCAGATGTTCTTCTTCGTTTACGAGATATTCCCGATCGAATTATTATAGAAAGATCTCTGTATCAGGAGAACCGCTCAGCGGCCGAATTTGTCGTGCCACTTATTCGAGTACCACGTTCTCCTGAGACAAAATCCTCAATTTCAGTCAGATGTTCTTTTTCGTTCTCGAGATATTCCAGCCCAAAAAATTTTTGACAGAACTCTGTATCAGGAGGACTACACAACGGCTGACTTTGTCGTGCCACCTCTTCGAGTATCATGTTCTACTGATACTAAATCCTAATTTCCAGTCAGATATTCATTTTCGATCTTAAGATACACCTGCTAAATATTTGTTGATACAATTTTGTATCAGGAGAACCACTCAACGGCCGACTTTGTCGTGAATCCACTTCGAGTATCATGTTCTCCTAAAACAAAATTCGAACCATCAGGCAGATGTCCTATTTCGTTCTCGAGATATTACAGACTGAAATTTTCTTGAAAGAACTCTATCAGGAGAACCCATCAGCGGCAGAATTTGTCGTGCCACGTCTTCGAATATCATGTTCTCCTGACACAAAGTCGCAATTTTCAATCAGATCTTCTTACCCGTACTCAAGGTACTCCAACTCAAAAATATGTCGATAGTCCACTATATCAGGAGAACCGCTCAGCGGCCAACTTTGTAGAACCGCCTCTTCGAGTACCATGTTCTCCTGACACAAAATTCCAATTTTCAGTGAGACGTCCTTCCCCGTTCTCGAAATATTACCGATTGAAAATTTTTTGAAAGAGCTCTGTATCAGGAGAACCGCTCAGCGGCCGACTTTGTCGTGCCACCTCTTCGAGTACCATGATCTCCTGATACAAAACCCGAATTTTCAGCCAAATGTCCTTTTTCGTTCTCGAGATATTAGCGGTTGAAATATTTTTGGAAAACCTCTGTATCAGGAGAACCGTTCAACGGCCGACTTAGTCGTGCCACCTCTTCGAATATCATGTTCTCCTGATACCATATCCGAATTTACAGTCCGCAGTTCGATCCTGTATCAGGGGAACCGCTCAGCGGCGGACTCTGTCGTGCCACTTCTTTGAGTACCATGTTCTCCTGATACAAAATCCGAATTTTCAGGCACATGTCATTTTTCGTTCTCGAGATATTGGCGGTTGAAATATTTCTGGAAAACCTCTGCATCAGGAGAACCCTCCAACGGCCGACTTAGTCGTGCCACCTCTTCGAATATCATGTTCTCCTGATACCATATCCGAATTTACAGTCCGCAGTTCTATCTCTGTATCAGGAGAATCGCTCAGCGGCCGAATCTGTCGTGCCACCTCTTCGAGTACCATGGTCTCCTGGCACAAAGTCTTCATTTTCAGTCGGTTGATCTATCTCGTTCTCAAGATATTCCTGGTCAAGGATATGTCGATAGTCCTCTGTATCAGAAGAACCGCTCAGCGGCCGACATTGTTGTGCCACCTCTTCGAGTATCATGTGTTCCAGGTACAAAATCCGAATTTTCAGTCAGATAGTCTTTCTCGTACTTAAGATAGCCTAGCCTAAAAATTTGTTGACAGACCTCTGTATCAGGAGAAGGGCTCTGCGGCCGACCCTGTCGTGCCACCTCTTCGAGTACCATGTTCTACTGACACAAAATCCTCATTTTCAGTCAGTTGTTCTTTCTCGTTCTCAAGATATTCCTGATCAAACATATGTTGGCAGACCTCTGAAGCAGGAGAACCGCTCGGCGGCCGACTTTGTCGTGCCACCTCTTCGAGTAGCATGTTCACCTGACACAAAATCACAATTTTCAGTCAGATACTCTTTCCCGTTCACGAAATATTACCGATTGAAGTTTTTTTGAAAGACCTCTGTATCAGGATAACCGCGCAGCGGCCGACTTTGTCGTGCAACTTCTCCGAGTAACATGTTCTCCTGATACCATATCCGAATTTACAGTCCGCAGTTCTATCTCTGTGTCAGAAGAACCGCCCAGCGGCCGACTTTGTCGTGCCACCTCTTCGAGTATCATGTTTTCCTGATACAAAATCTGTATTTTCAGTCAGATGTTCTTTCTCGATCTCAAGAGAGTCCAGCCTAAAAATGTGTTGACAGACCTCTGTATCAGGAGAAGGGCTCAGCGGCCGACTTTGTCGTGCCACTTCTTCAGGTAACATGTTCTCCTGATACCATATCCGAATTTACAGTCCGTAGCTCTATCTCTGTATCAGGGAAGCCGCTCAGCGGCCGACATTGTCGTGCTACTTCTCCGAGTACCATGTTCTCCTGACACAAAATTACAATTTTCAGTCAGATACAATTTCCCGATCCCGAAATATTACCGATTGAAGTTTTTTTGAAAAACCTCTGTATCAGGAGAACCGTCCAAAGGCAGACTTTGTCGTGCCACCTCTTCGAATATCATGTTCTCCTGATACCATATCCCAATTTATAGTCCGCATTTCTATCTCTGTATCAGGAAAAACGCTCAGCGGCCGACATTGTCGTGCCACCTCTTCGAGGATCATGTTCTCCTGATACAAAATCTGTATTTTCAGTCAGATGTTCTTTCTCGATCTCAAGAGAGTCCAGCCTAAAAATTTGTTGACAGACCTCTGTATCAG